GCGGACGGTGTACCTTTGTAGTTGCTCCAAAGCGACCTCATCTTCCTTAGACATTAAGGCAACAGGTTTGGTTGACACACCTAAGTTGTCGAGGCAAATGTACGCTTTGGAAATTTCAAGCAGTTCAGCTTGAGCAGAGCAATCCCAGGTGTGGTAAACGTAGTGTATAGGATTGGTACCGGCTTTAGGCATCAACCCTTTCAAGGTCCATCCCAATTTAGACTTTTCTGCTATTGAGTCATTTTCTCCTCCATATAGGGATTTTATTGGAGATCCAAGTGCCGCGTTATTTAAGCCTCTTAGTAGTTGTGGAGTGACGTTTGAATAGGACTGCAATGGCAGCCCTTTCAAATGTTTGAAATGTAGTCGTAGTTTGTCGGCATCAAGCGATTGCGTAGGCAACCGAAGTTTCTTGACGGAGCGAACACCCTTAAGAGCAAATTGTCTATGCCCGCTGATAGCCGATATGGTTAGGTCGGCTACAACAGACTCGTTCTCATACCGATGTGTATCACCAGTCCAACGTAGACAGAGTGGTTGCGGTGTTCCTCTTACATTAAGCTGTTTTAAGAAAACTACTGGTAATATGCGAAACATTGTGCTTGCTCCGGTTGCAATATGCGTATTGATGTCGGCGGAATGCTCTCTGGATACCATATTGACATTGTCTGACGTTTTCTCAGCTACAATTTGGGCGCATTCAGATTTGTGTAAAAGTGGATGATGACTGCGTGTGCATCCGTTAACGCTGCAAGGTTTAGCCAAATTACATCTATTCATCGAATGCCTTTTCAAACATCGACGACATAGCTTTAGTTTACGAACAACTTTCCACCTTTCACTTCGTGGCAAAACCTTGAAAGAGGTACAATTAGAGACTTCACTACAACTTTCATCGCAAACGATACATCTTACTGGACCAAAATGATGATTAATCGCCCCTCGTTTGCGCTCTCGTATTGGTTCCTTTGGAACGAGAACGCAGTTGGCTCCTTGAGCTGAAAAAGCCAATCACTGAAGTTTTGTAAATTACATACTGCCAAGCTCTGCTTATGCATTCCCCAATATGCTGGGAGAAGCTCAGGTAGTTTCGAAACCAACCGCTGTTCAAATTCGGGATTGTTCAAATGACTAGTCAGACCTGATACTGACATCGTTGCACAGATGTTTTGCACTTCTACTGCAAAGTCGACTATAGATTCCAGATGGCTCTCTGATGGTGGCGGTAGTTCACAAATTTGGCGTTGCAGAACACTGATGATCAATTCTGGTCTACCAAATCTCATTTGAAGTGTGGCCATAATTTGATTGACGCATGATGAATGCAATAGCAAATTTTTAACAGCCTTTCGCGATGGATCTTCCAATGCCTGTCTGAACAGATTCTCTTCGTCGGAGAATCCGCAAACCTCCGTAGTTTGCTTAAAAGCGGCATAAAACAACGGCCACTCGCTGGGTTTACCATCATATTTGGGTAATTCTTTAACAAGGCTGTTACGAGAAGCAACTTGATCCCGAGTTAATCGGCGATAAGCTGAAGCACAAGCTGTTAGCGTGTCCAGCTGTCGGAAAAGTTGTATGTACTGGTTGCGGCAGAGCAGTCTCTGCATAGAGCGTCGAGTTCCGTCGCAACTGTTGTTCAAATGACTGTATTCGGTCCAATAAGGATTGAAGGACCGGTGTTTGCATATCAGTTTCACCTTGCTGACCAATTGATATTCCGGTTGGAATATTGTTATGTAGTGAGGGCCCACTATTAGTAATACCATTTACAACAGGCGCTGTTCTAGTAAATGGTGCTACAAATTGTGGCGGTAGCTGCAGTATCTGGGATGGGAGAGGCACATGATCCCTTAACCCATTGGAGATTGTAGGCATTGTGTATTGCCTTTCGTCGAGGTCATCATCAAAGCCCATTGCATCTATGCGATCCAAAAAGCTGTGCTGTTCCCTTAATAAAGCCTCCCTCTGTCGTAGGATTTCGCTTTGCTCGTGTAGCAATTCGGCGCGACGACGAAGCCCTAGTGTACTAACGGAATTACCAGAGTGAACAGGACTTATGAGTTGGCTTTCTTGAAGATGCACTGGTTGGGGTGATACCGTATACACCCTATTGGCATTTGGAGGAGCTGCATTTGATACGCCTGCGTTCGAACTTTCAGCGTGTGTCACAGGAATTCGCTGATTAGCAGCTCGATCAGTAACACTATTATCTTCTGGATTGTCCACTATTGGAAAGCTGGTTGAAGTAGTGAAATTGCTGGCTGCAGCAAAATTAGACCCAAGAACGAAATTAACAGGTGCAGCAGATGAATCCAAATTATTCGCGCGCGACATTATAATTTGCGTTTATATGTAGTGCGCGATGAGAGTAGAGTAAATTTTTTAAGATGTTAAAAAAATAGTCGAGAATTTTTTGCAATTAGATGAAATATTTAATATTTAATGAGAATTATCCGTACTCTACCCTCTGAAAGTTGTCATGCGAATCCAAGATCCGCTCCCGTTTTTCTCATTGCCTACTGTGCTAATTTTTGTATGTCAAAAATGGGCTGAATTGGGTCAATACTTACCTTAACTAATAGAAAGATGTTTGAATTTCCGGGTGACTTTATACAGCATATATCCCCCAATATGTGAGTTATGTCAATGAAAACAAAATAGCGCGTTTTACTAATAGCAGTGTATCTTTGTGCCTAAACCGAATAAAATCGAGTGAAAACTTGACCAGCCCCTTATAACTAATATCAAGATTTTCGAACATCCGGCTGACTTTACTCTATATTGTTCATGGTATGTGAGGTACATCAATGGAACCCTGGGAGCATTTTATTAGTATGTGTCATTATAATAGTTTGTGTTATTGGCATAATTATAATTGGCATACTCCCATATATTACTTATAATAGGGGTATTCAGACCGAACATGTTAATCTGGTAATTCGTTAGTTGATATGTACTTCGTTAAAACATTTCACTGTGAACATATTTTTTACTCTATCTCAGTAGTGTGGTATATTTTGTTCCAAAGTAGCTGATTCAATTTTATTAAATATTTAATTTTGAAAAATTTGTCTAAACCTATTTTATAGCGAATGTATTTTTTCGAATCAAATGAACTTTTTAGGCAACGACGCAAAATAAACAGCTGCCAGGCTGGTACTTCGTTACTCATAATAGCCATAGTCCGTTAAATTTACAAAAACAAAATCAACGTAAAACACTACCGAGTAACTATAACCAACTAACGAATTAGCAAAGCTGGAATGATTTTCATTATTCTAACAAGTTTTATGCCGAATATGTAGTTTAGTGTGTGAGTTATATATTATAAAAAATATGAAAATATGTTCTAAAATGTACCTGAGTAATGTCAAAATTAATGCAACCCTTTCTTTGCATTCAGTTTAAACCATATGGACAAGTTTGCTTAAGAATTATGTGGTTTCGCGCTGAATTAGAATAAAATTGATCTATACCTTGGTCTAAAGCTCATATCATCCTCTGGTTGATGTTTATCCGCATTAACTCAATATATTAAATTTAGATTCTTCGATCGAGTTAATATCACGTACATATACCTCATTTGAAGATGTTTTTAATATAATGACTAAAACTAATACTGACGCGAACTAAAATATAGTAATAAAACTAAGTTTAAGTCTATGGCCTACAATATAAGTAAAGAAAATGCCAAATTTAAGCGGTTATACTAGTCTAGAGGCATGAATTTTAAGTAATTTTTAAAGTGTCGTAACAAAAGGCAATCAATATTTTCACTATCGATTTTTTTCAGTTATTTATTAATATTATAAGAGTACAGAAAAAAATTAAAAAAATAAGTTAAAATTTAAAAAACTGGCAGCTAATGAAGGGGGGTATCAAAAAATTGTCACATAAGCATACCCATGATTTCACCCTCCTAGTAATCTGAAATGAAAAAGGAAAATTATCAATCTGCAATGATGTCGCAATTATATTAAACAGCGATAAGTAAAACAAAAAATTTTGGACAAAATGGCGACAGGTTGAAACAAAACGATTTTTTTACCATTTTTATTTTCTCGTATTTTTTAATGACAGTAAAAATTTAAATTTGGGGATGAGGCTAGTTCATACTCGAGAGAGGAGAGAAGATTCTCTGAAAATTTCAAGTAAATCGTTTCAGTAAAACTCGAGAAATTATGAGTCAAGAAATCAAGTCTTTTGTTCGATTAGACCCAGGTCGGGACAGTAAAATGTCTATATCTGTCAAAATAAATTAAATTTAAAAAAATCCTCTCGTAGACATATTCTTAAATAGTTAAAATATGAAAAAAATGTTTTTTTTTTGAAATTCTACACTAGATTGTAACTTATTTCCGATCGAAAAATGAATGTTGAATTTTTTCGCAATATATTTATTATAAAGTTTTGGCAGCAACTGACTTTGCAATAGTATGAAATGTTTGGTTACACCCGAATTTAGCACATCCTTAATTGTTTCTTCATTATTATTTTTCATGTGCATAAATTTTTATCAATAATTTTTAAATTTAGAAACCATGTTTAAGTCTAAACCTTAACTATGCTTCTTTTCGCGTTTATTCATAAATAATATTTTCAGTGAATGAAATATTTTTTTACAAGTATTTAAAGTAGCCACAGAAACGTGTGGACGGATACTAGGTTTTTTTTTTATTGCAAACGCCTATAGAAGTTTCAGTTTTCCCTAAAAATCTGATCCCTTTTAAAAAAATATGCATGGAAAAGCAACAATAATGTTATTCTGTTGAGTTCAATTTGTGAGTGTTCAAAATCTTAGTCGATAACTTATTAAAGGTGTATAAACACTTGTTATCCCTCTTCAATTATGTCTCCACCTTAGAGCAAACCGAAAACAACTAATATTTTACAACAGTAATACGAGTATTATCTTTTGCATTAATTGATATTTTAGTAATATATACTTGTATTGTAAATAGTTCAATAATCTGTACATATGTTTAATTTATTTTTAGAATATCAATTTAAATTAATTGAACAATCACTACCTCAACTTCCAAATAAGTTTTGCATCAGGATTACAACCGTCAACTATTATTTGAAACACTTTCACCTTGTAGGTGACCCTTAGACAAGAATTCCTCATATTACTTAAAGGGAGTAAGAAGGAAAATTTTTAAGCAGCGGACGGCGCAGCAGCACTTTTCGGTCTCCACTTAGCGGCCGTGTGTTGAAATGGTATTGCCTTTTGGTTTGGCCTCTGACGGTCATAACGTAGCTGGCAACCAAAACATGGTAACCCCCACAGCTCCACCTGCTTTCCTAATGCACGGCCACACAAATGTCTCCACTGTGGTGCCTATCATTCCAAGCCCCTACATCGATTTCATCGTTGTGAATGGCGACGATCGCTACATGATACGCTGCGAGCGTAAGGCAGTGCTAGAGAACAGTGTTGAGCTGGCAAAGCTGATACGGGCGGGCCCAAATAGCGGCCGCAAAGGCGATAATCACTTTCAAATCTCCAATGTGGATAAGAACGACTTTGAATTGGTCATACGGTTTTTAGAGACAAAGTTCGTGCGGTATCGCGACCATTTGCACATACTGAAAATACTGGAGTTGGCCGATCGTTTCAATTGCCCCGATTTGGTGAGTAATTGCAAACATTCTCACTCTATTGGGTTCCACATAAATTTTTTCTACTTTTTGTTTTTATCAGGTAATACACTGCATACGTGAATTGGACCTGCAATTGACGAGCGCAGTGGTGATCGACATCTTTCGTTCGCTGTGGTTCTACCAAAGCATTTCAGTGCCAAACCAACACCAATTGGGTGCTGTGATTACCACACAGGAAAGCGCTGCAAACAAGAAAGTAAAACGTAAAACACCAAACCCACAAACCACCGCCAATGCCAGTGGCGGAACAGCTGCTGCTGGTGCGGGCGACAATGCGAATGCGGCGGCTGAATCAAGTCCGCACCCCAATCCCTTTACAGCAGAGGAGTTCGGTATGGCTTTGCTCAACAACTCGCTGCAGCTGATTGACATGCATGCCCAATTGGTGCTGACCAAACAGCAAATCAACGAATTACGCTTTGAAGAACTCGAAATGATAGCGAAACGTGAGGCACTGCAACTAAGTTCCGAACTTGTGCTCTTCAATTGTTTGGCGGACTGGAGTGTAGCCGAGTGTCAACGGAAGAAGCTTGATGCAACGGCAGAGAACAGACGACGTGTCCTCGGGCCACTATGCTACGCGCCGCGTTATTTACTCATGAATATCAATGAATTTCACAAAGCATGTGATCGTGTCGAACTACTGGATCCAGTGGAAGTTTCGCTCGTGAGTGATGCAATCGAAGGTAGTTAAAAATTATGCTTCGTACACCATGTTTTACCAAGTAACATGCATTATCCATTTAGGTAAAAAGCTTAAGAATTTAACACCAGAGCAGAGTCAATTGCTGGAGAAGTTTCGAACACCACGTCCCGAATTCCCAAAAATGCCAATACACCTTAGCGATCGCACCAACCCGAAGAATTATCCGAAAAAAATGCGCCGCGCCGAAAAGGGTGCTTCCGGCGAAGACGGTTGTTGGAGTAATTTCGGTATGAACTGTTTGACAGTATTCGCATGCATTTTCGACTAAAATAGCGGCGTTAAGTTCTAACTTAGTGAACCAACAAGCATTTGAATATGACATATTCATAAGCACATAACCAACTGCTCTCACGTTATGTACAATTTGAATTTTCCACTACACAAAAGTGCAATCAGTTAAAAAACCATAGTATGCAAGCTCAGCATTGGAAGCTCAAAGTGAGGAACTTTTTTTGTTAGAAGAGGCGTTTAAGAATGGAAGAAAGAAAGCGATAAGTCCGAATTAGCTAAAATAAAGTAGATAGAGTTGGCGTAAGCCAAGTGCATGGATAAAGCTGTAACCTTCGTTAGAATGATAGCGAATTGAATAATAGCGGATTATCCAACTGTGAATTTATAAAGTAGATAAATTTAAGATGGGAAAATAGTTAAAAGAAATTTTCACTATGTGTAACAGCCGAAGAGCTATCGTTTTACAAGCTTTTATCTCTTTAACAGACATAAAATTCGCGAATTTTTCTGACAGCTTAATGTCCAGAAGTGTGTTTCTTCCTTTGGAAAAGCTATGGTGCTCTTACGTTTCCGACTAATTGCACTGTAATAAACTTAACCTTAACATTTTACGCATTGTAACAGTTAAAAACTGAAATAACCGTATTAGAACGATGCAACTAAAGTTGTATTTTCAGTACTATGAGTCATGTTGATGCTTATACATTATATAAATAGAGGATACCGCGATATATGTATGTACATACATATGTGAATGTGAAAACAACGGGGAGTATTCCAAATCAACAAGAATGAGTAGATTAAGTTTTTATACTGACATACCGATGTCGTGTGAATTTGCTAGTGAAATCCATAATATAGTATTGCTATAATTGTATATAACTTACATCCATACATACATATGCAATGGATATATTGCTGAGCAGGAGTATAATAGAAATTTATAGGTAATCGTATCATTTGTAGCTATTAATTGTATTGGGATACGTCGTTCATATGTCTGACATATTACTCCCATATACTTAGATCAATATATTGTACTTATATAGACAAAATTATATATAATATTTTTATGTAGACCATTATTTTATGCCAATTTACCTTATGTTATGTAAGTTTTTGCTAGTCAATGTAACCATAAAAATTTGTTTATAGAAAATTTGTTCAAAGAATATTATCATAATTGAAAAGGAATTTAAGTACAATACATTCACGCATCGTCTACATACATACACAGACAGATAATTACATATTTACATACGCAAAGTAAGCTTTAATAACCATTCAGCAAGCAATTTTAACAAATATGGAGTTGAAACGAATATTTTAATTTAAAGGGATGATGGTGGGAGATAGATGATGGCTGTAAGCTTTTTCATATTCATATACAAAATACGTTATTATTAAATTATAGAAAAATGTATGGAAGTTTTAAGTAATTGTAATGAATGGGCATATGTATGTACATAGTTTTATGAAGGCAGAGGATTTAAGGTGTTAAGCGATTGTTAATTTTAAAGCTTCGCAACCGAGCTTAAACCGCAGCATTTTAGTGTAAATCTCATTAACAATTTCTAATTATGAGATCAGAACAAATATATATCGAAATTGGTACGAATACATTTGAACACAGTAAATAATATTATATTATATAAATACATAAGTATAAACAAGACATCTCGTTTCTTTTCAGCCCTAAATAGAACATTCATACTAAAAATTCCATAACATTGCGATATACTTAGATTACAACTTCAGTTGCTTGCATTTCTGCAAATCTCATAAATTAAGTTTTCGACAAATATTATGCAATCAATGAACAATACATCATATATCATAACTGAACTACAGATCCATACATAAATAAATATACACAACCGTTTGAATAAAAATTATTGAGAATTTATTCACTATATATTTAAGAGTAGGGGGGTGAGAGGTTAAAGCAAATTATACCAAAGTTTTTTTTCAACTATATACACTTTTATTCACAATACACATAATCAGTGAACGAGAGAAGAGAAGAGAGAAGGGGATCCGCAACAATTTGTTTTAGATTTTTTTCCTTCAACAATTGATGTAAGTTATCACGGGGCCACATCCTGCATATATCCTCCCCGGGCTCCGGTTTTCTGTTGTTGTTGTTGTTGTAGTATCAGAATTTTGAAGATTTTTAAAGTAATTTGGAGAAATGCTGCTGAGTTAACAGTCATTGGCCGGATAAAAATCCGAGTCTTTTCTGGTTACGTAGACGCGACCGACGTGGGAACAGCTTACTCTTACTATTAAGTAACCGTGTACCAAATTTGTCATTATGAATGGCAACAGGATACTGAGCTTAGGCAATTGAGTAGCTAGTCACCAATTTTGGCATATTGTGTATTTCTACCACCCCTTGTTAAAATATGGCAAAATTTCTAAGATAGGGCTTTTACGGTAATGCAGTAAATACTGGCAACACTGCGCAAATTGCTTAGCTGATTTTAGGCTGGCTGATGCCCTTGCCTGAAACTGCTAAAAACTGCGCTATTTAGTATCTTAATTTTCAAAACTTAAAATGTGCGAAATATTTCTTATTAATACTCTCACTGACGAGATAAAATTATCAAAATTATCTATTTCTATTAGCAAGGTACAAACAGAGAAGGAATCGTGTAAAAAATAACGAAATTTTTTTTGCAAGTACTTTTCAAATGTTGCAAAGTTGCCGCGTTTTCGCTGAACCATTGTATAAGCCAAACAGCTCCAACAGTGATGCTTTTTTCGAACTTTCAATTTAGGCAAAGATGTCAAGTTTGCCTATTCGAACTGGTTGCATCACGTATAGTGTTGCCACTTGAGAAAGTCTTTGGGTACCAAAATGTCTACCAAATTGCAAAACTACCAAATTTTTTATCATCACACCATTTTACTTTATTTCAATTCACTCTTGGACTAATATGTACAATATATATGTACAAATAAACCTTACAGTTCAAGAGCTTACATGATTATTTATTAACACCAACTGTATTTTGTGAGTTTTACGCTTCAGTTAGTAACCGACGTGCCGCCCTTCCGTAGAAATCAGTTGTTCTCTTTTGATCACATTGAGCACTGCTTTGCCAGTGCTTTTGCACACATCTACCTTCTTAGTTATAATTTTCATACTGTAAAACATCAAAACTAAAATCCAATTATTAAAGATACTGTAGTAATTTATAAATAATTGTATTCCACTGTAATTTTCAGTTAGTTAAAGAATATTTCCAATATATTTAAGTTTATTTTTTAATTACTACGAAATATTAAGTTGAAAGAGATTGCTTTCTCACTCTAAGCTCACTCGTTTCTGCGGAAAAAATTCCAATTTTCGCGGATATCCTACCGTACGGTCTGAAAAAGCGAACGGTTGAAGCTGTGGTGAGTGTTCATTTACATTGCGCTCTCTTAAGATAGGTCGTATCAGCTGATTCGGTCCACGGTTTTGCGTCGGTGACTATTTGAAGCATGAATCATTGGAGTATAAATATATTTAAAGAAAATATCTATACTATTTTATTTCTAAATAATTTACAAACGCTTTCAGTTGAATAATTTACGGAAATTGATCCAAAACATGAAAAAACATTAACTTCGGTAGAACTGAAGCTAGAATACCCTTTACAAATAAAATTATGTTTTTTTGATCGGTTAGTATGTATGGCAGCTATTTGTTATCAGGCGTTTGCTTCTAGGTATTACGAACTTCGTGGCAAACTTGATATACCCTGTTCAGTGTATAAAAATCGATAATCTGTAAAAAAATTATTTATTTTAGTTTTAAGGGTTTTTGGCAATGTTTATTAATATTTTAGTAAACTGCGCCTAAACGCTGTTTGTTTGTTTTCATAAGTTCATAGTTAATAAATATATACTCAAACTCTTTAAAATTACCAGTAATAATCAACTTGAGCTGTTGAATCCTAACTAATTCAAATCTACTTAACATTACGACTTTAAATTGCAATTATCAGCAATGTTTTCCATTTCTTTCTCTTTCATTTTTCAAATTCTTGCACAAATATGAGCAAGGCTTACAATTACTTTCAGTGCAGTAAAAATGTTAACTCGAGGATAATATCAGCCTCATCAAGTACAGTGATATTTGTAGTGATAGCTAGATTAGATTAGATTAGATTAGATAGTGATTGAGATATGCACCGCGACCTATGGTCTTATTGTGCCCCTAAGTCACAGCGACTCATCTAGCCCTAGCATATTGATGAACTCCAATATACTGCTAGGCGCCAATGAGGCGATGCGATCCCTGTTTGGAAACATGGATCCCAGGGCCTTGACTCTACGTCTGCAGACAGCTGTGCAGTCCATTAGTAGGTGTTCTGGGATTTCCGACTCCATGTCGCAGAACCGGCAGTTTGCAGAGGAGACCAAGCCCATGTTAAATAAATGCTTGTTAAGCCTGCAATGTCCGGTGTAGAACCCGACCAGAAGTCGAAATTTGTTCCTCGGGAGATTGATTACGGTTTTAAACCGTCTGAGGTTATAGCTCCTCAGTAGCAACTTGGCATGGCGCATGCCTTGGAGGTGTTGCCAGTGTCTCTCCCTGCCTGCTCTTTCCTCTCTACGGAGCAGCTCCGTAATGGTATGTGGACCCACCGCTACGCACGGTTCCGGTCCTACCATGTTTGTAGAGGCTGCAGAGCGGGCCAACTCGTCAGCAAGTTCATTTCCTGCTATACCCCTGTGACCAGGCACCCAGATGAGGTACACACTGTTGAAACTTGATAGGCTGTTCAGCCGTTCTATACACTCCTGCACTAGTAGCGATTTGACCTCAAAAGCCGAGATTGCTTTAAGTGCTGCCTGACTATCGCTGAGTATGGCGATGCTCTTATTGTGATAGTCGCGTTGGAGGTTTATTTCTACACACCGACTTATAGCATATACCTCCGCCTGAAATATGCTAGGAAAACTTCCCATGGGAACGGAGAGTTTGGTGCGTGGTCCTGCGACCCCTGCGCTAATCCCCTCCGCCGTTTTCGAGCCGTCGGTGCACCACTTGATAGCACTGTTCCTTAGTAGTAGGTCCAGCGTGGAATCGTTCCATTCTGCCTTACTGCCAAGGGTAACCCTGAACTTCCTAGTGAAGCTTACTGTTTTGGTAATACTGTCCCTTGGAAGAAGGGCCAGTGGCATTGCGTCACTTATGGCTTTCATCTGCTGGGACGAGATTACCTTCCCTTTGCCAGACCCTTCTGCTGAAATTTAAAGCAAGGTCTGTTTGGCCGTCTGCTCGATCACTATATGTAGCGGTGTTAGCTCCAGCATTACTTCCAGTGCTGCAGTCGGACACGTACGCATCGCTCCCGACGCCCAGATACAGGCAAGTCGTTGCAGCCTCGATAGTCGAAGTCCTACCGAGGTCTGCGCTGCTTTGGAACCCCAGGCCACCGCTCAATATGTTATGATCGGTCTAACAATCATGGTGTACAACCATCTGATAATCTTTGGGTTGCAGCCCCATGATTACCCAGCAAGTCGATTGCACACCATGAGCGCTTTCGTACCTTTGGCTGCGGTTAAGTCCACATGCTGCTTCCACCGTATAGTGGAGTCCAGCGTGAGGCTCAGGTACTTTACCGTGCTGGCCATCTCCAACTCCGTTCCACCTAGGGATAGGTTTCTGAGGCCTGGCAGCAACCTGCGTCTGGTAAACGGTATGATTGTAGTTTTGGAGGGGTTGATGTTTAGAGAGAGTGTCTGCGAATTTACCCCTTGCTAATATAACAATGTCGTCCGCATATCCCTGACAGCGGATTCCGTTGCTCGTTAGCAGCTCGAGAAGATCGTCTACAACTAGGCTCCAAAGTAGGGGGGATAGCACTCCACCCTGTGGACAGCCTCTTGTTGTGCCAAGACGAATCTTAGTGTCGCCTACTGTGGTTTCGGCAATCCTGGTGCTCAGTACTGCTTCAATCCATCTGCGCACCGGCATCGCCACACCCCTTTTCTCTAGTGCTTTTGACACGCTCTCGTGTGACGTATTGTCAAAGGCACCTTCGATGTCAAGGAAGGCGCATAACAGCACCTCACCCCCGTCGAACGAACTTCGGATCTCTGAGGTCAGCTGATACAGAGCAGTATTGGTTGATCTGCCTGCTTTCAGCACCTTCGATCTTATTTCGTGGTCTATGATCTTTTCCATGCTTTTCAGTAGGAAGGAAGTTAGACTTATTGATCTGAAGGATTTTGCCGACGAGTAGTCTTTTCTTCCTACCTTGGGTATGAAGATCACCCTTGCAGTGCGCCAAGGTTCTGGGATATACGCCAGCGCCAGGCTATCCCTCATCAGCCGAACAAGGTGGGGCAGGAGGACCTGCCCCCCCTGTTGCATGAAGGCTGGAAGGATGCCATCCGCTCCCGGAGACTTATATTTTTCGAAGGAGGCCACAGCCCACTTAATGGAGTCCGCAGTGAAGAGCTGTTTTGCGGCTGTCCAATCTAAGCGAGTTGGCTTTCGTTCGACTCTGGGTCGAATTAGGTCTTCTCGAATTGTTTCCGGGAAGTGCGCACGTAGAAGGGCCGTGGCTCTTTCTTCCGCGCTGGACGTATAGGTCCTTATTGCTAGAACTGTGTCGGTCTTGCCCCTAGCCAGAGCCTTATGCCGCCTTGCAGCGTCTGGCGTTGAGGAGCCATTTCTAAAGCTCTTCTGCTTTGCTGGCCTGATCTCCTTGTTGTAAGCAGTTAGGCCGCACCTATAGTTCTCCCAGTCCCTGGTACGCTTAGCCCTGTTAAATAGCTTGCGTACCGTTTTCCTTAGGTTTGAGAGCCTACTTGACCACCAGGGACAGCTGTGGTTCTTGGTGGTCGTCTTTAGGGGGCAGCTACTGTTGTATGCTTCTATAATGGACTGATTTAGCGCAGACAATCTGCTCTCCAGTCCAGAAGCAGTGGCACTGCTGTCAAGCTGCCGCCTCCTATTGAGATTTATTTCCACCGTATCCCTAAAGGTGGCCCAGTCCGTGTTTTTGGGGATACGCCTGGGAGGGGGTTGCCGAACTCTACGCCTAGTGCGAGTCTTATGATGCGGTGATCCGACATGGATGGTTCCGATGACACTCTCCACTGCCCGATCAGCCCCGTCATGAGTTCGTTACCAAGGGTGATGTCAAGCACCTCCCTTCTTACACTGGTTATAAAGGTGGGTTCGCACCCCACGTTTACAATGCTTAGATTACTACTTACTATAAATTCAAGTAGAGACTCACCCCGTGTATTGCAGTCCGTGCTGCCCCATTCGGTGTGATGGGCGTTGGCATCACATCCCATGACAAGGGGCAGGTTGTTCCTCCTGCAGTAATCCACGAGGCTCCCGACGGCCTCTGGGGGTGCTGTCATCGTGTCTCCCGGAAAGTAGGCCGCTGCCAGGACGACGTCCGCTCCTTCGTTACCTTTTGCCTGCACAGCGACCAGGTCTTGTGTTAGGAATTCTGAAATACAAAAGTAATCAATATCGTTCCTAATTACTATACAGGATCTGAGTCTCTCACTTGAGAGATCCCAGATTACCTTGCTATTCACCATTTTGAGGCCCCTGACCTCTCCTTTGTAGATCCATGGCTCCTGGATCAGCAGAATGCCCAGACCATCCGCTGTGAACCTGCTCGCGATGACGGCCGAGGCCGACGCCGCGTGATGCAGGTTCACCTGGGCAATTTCAATTTGTAGACCCACTAGAGGATCGGTTCCATGAGGAGCTCCTCATCTTCACCGTCCTCCGCGTTACCACCCGCTAGGTCCCTGAGTCCTTCGAGAAGCTCTTGCGTGGAGGGTAGCGCCTCCCCTTGTTCGCCAGCCTTCTCCGTAGGGACCTTCACCATGGTTTCGGCAGTTGCCGCCTGCTCCGCCGTGCTGATGCCGGGATGAGTCGCAACCTCATCTACCAGCATTTTCTCAGCCGCTTCATTTTTGGGGGCCGTCTTAGGCTTAAATGGCCTTAGGACCACCGAACTGAATGTATAATACAGTCGGAAGCTCGCTCTCCTGACGAATTTATACGACTCGTCGTCGATACAGAGATTGAGCTTCCACCCTGAATCCTCGACCGTGCTGGTGACTACTCTCCAGGCCGATATGCTTAGGCCCTCGTTCTGGTTTTGTATGAGCCCGAGAGCAAACTCATATGGCTTACCTGCGCACCTGGGGAGGAACACTGTCATGCTGTGCAGGAATTTGATTTCAGGTAGAGTTTTTCAAACTTTTAGTACTATTAAGTTAGCTATGTTTGAAATTCAATAAGAACTAATGGAACTCAAAAAGTTAAGTAATAGTAATTTTATGATATGATCAATTATATAAAACTCTCAAAAAGTAAACTCGTAAAGCTGAAGGGGGTTTTCGAAATTTCAATTTCTCACTTTTTCGGAACACCTTTAAACAAAATATGCCAATAATTTGTTATTGTAAAATAGGAAATATTAACAATTTTGAACATTTTGGCTCGTCAGCAACACCTTATATATTTCGTACATAAATAGGGTTCAAAATTTCAAAGCGATCGGTGCAGTAGTTTTGACGTTATGTGGGGTACCGACTTTGAGGGAAAACGTTTTATTCCAAGTTTGGTTTTTTTTATGAGATATTATGCATTCATTAAAAAAAAAAATTAAAAATGGAGTAGTCGTTTTAAATGTAACATAACTTCTAACTTCCAACAATAATATTAATAAATTTTTGAAATGTTATTCCTAATAATAATCAAATTTATAGGAGTTACGGCAACACTATTTCCGAACGCAAATAGAACATCAATAATTCCTCAATATAAATTTTGTATCACATTTCTACGCTACATAGCATATGGCAACACCACATATGTTGCTATTTATTTCGTTTTGGTTTACATTTTTGAGCGAATCAAGTCCGTAATTTAAAAACAAGTGTTATCATATGAACTAAAAATTATAAGAATGCAAGATTTTGAAGCAAAACGCAATGCTTTATTTGCATGCCTTGATAATGCAAGTAAAGAGTTATCTGGAACAGCTTTGGATCAAAGCCAGTCTGCAAACCCTACATTAGGTCTTGTGTACCGCCGCGGCATATCAAAGAAGTGCAGGAGTCTAATGTCTCCTGATAAAAGTCTATCGCGAATGCGTGGAAAAGAAAGCATATTTAAGAAACCTGAGATGCCGCTATCAAAATGTTTGAAGCCTCGTAGAGTACCAGATTATAAGGTAAAGATTTGCATACAAGCAGTACTATGTAAGGAATACACGAAATTATAGCTTACCCAATCTTTTGAATAATAGGTTAATCCACAGAAGTGGACAAAATATTCACTAGCCGATGTGGATATTTCGGATCATACAAATACAGCCGCAGCATTTCAATTCTTAAAAGAAATGGATGAACAACTTGAAGAACGAGAAGGAAAAGATGGCACTTCACTCGAAACAAATAGCAGAATTGAATTCAAAAAGTCTAGCAAATTAAGAAAACAGATAAGAGATAAAGAAGAGGACGAGGTTAAAGATGCTGAGGTGGACAAACCAAGATTAAAAGGGTCAAGAGTAGTTATGCCGGAATATGTTGTTGGACAGCAAAGAGATACAAAGAAGAAAAAACTTGTAAAGTCCGTTGAAAATCAAATTCGAGCTGCAGGCACGTTAAGGCTACAGCACTTGCAAGAAGACGACGAAGATACTGAAGAGAGTTAAATTATAACGCAAATCATCATAGTTTATACTATATTAGAAATAGTAAACAAGAAAAAACGTTAACTTCGGTTGCACCGAAGCTACAATACCCGTCACAAATAGAAAGGCTCCTTACAAAAACTTGACTCCGATCGTTCAATTTGTATGAAGATACCTAGTCAAATGAAAAAGTTTTCCATGCAAGCTTTTTACTCTGATCTTTTAGTTAATATGGCAGCTATATGCTATAGTCATCCGATCTATATCTATATATGTATATAGGCAGACGGACATGGCTAAGTCAACTCAGCTCATGCTGATCATTTATGTATATATTTTATAGGGTCTCGGACATTTCATTCTGGGTGTTACAAATTTCGTGGCAAACTTAATATACCCTGTTCAGGGTATACAAATTGTGGAACACGTGAAGCATATACTGCTCTATGTAAAACTAATCAGCAATAATATTTAAACGGGCTAACCTTAGACGGATGAATGAATTTTAGATGCAGAGAATGTAATTTGACATATTGTCTTAAAAAGTTTCAAAGGCATACATTCAATAAGTCAATTATTTCGTAATAAAATTATTTGTTAATTGATCATTTGTTTTATAGACTAATAAAAGAGAATGTAGATTATATATAATCTTCGTGAACAAGTACCATTTGAGAGTTGTCAGCACTGGGAAAATTTCTTCGTGAACAGCTGGTTTAATGAAATGACAGCTGTTTGTGTATATTAAATTTAATACAGGAACTCTAATAAACACTGAAATTTGGACAGTTTTTAAAAGAAAAATAATAAACAAGTAAACCGACTAAGTTTCAAGTTAGAACTTATTTGAAACTGAAAGTAGAGAATGGTTTGCGCACTAGGTATTGAAGGAAGTGCAAATAAAATTGGTGTTGGCATTATACGTGATGGAGAAGTTTTAGCCAATGTGCGGCGTACCTATGTGACACCGCCTGGAGAAGGTTGTAATACAAAAATGTTATGTTATGTGAATATTAATTTTAATAATACAAATTTAATAGGATTTTTACCCAAAGAAACTGCTGCGCACCATAAAGATGTCATTCATCAACTTATAAAACAAGCTCTGAAAGAATCAAAACTTCTCCCAAATGATTTGGATGTCATATGTTATACTAAAGGTCCCGGCATGGCGCCTCCCCTTTTGATCGGTGCAATAGTGGCACGAACACTGTCGTTATTGTGGGAGAAACCGCTTTTGGGAGTAAACCATTGTATTGGTCACATAGAAATGGGACGTCTAATAACAGGCGCCTTGAACCCGATTGTGCTCTATGTGAGTGGAGGCAATACACAAGTTATTGCATATTCTAATAAACGTTATCGTATTTTTGGTGAAACGATAGATATTGCCGTTGGCAATTGTCTTGACAGATTTGCGCGGATTATTAAGCTATCTAATGATCCTAGCCCGGGTTATAATATCGAACAGTTAGCTAAGAGTGGACAAAACTATATCAAACTTCCATATGTTGTCAAAGGTAATTGCTAAATCAAAATTATATATGTTTTTAGTTATTTGCACAATTTGTCTTCTTAGGCATGGATGTAAGCTTTTCAGGTATTCTTTCACACATTGAAGACCTTGCCGATCCTAGCAAAAGACGCAATAAACGTAAGAAGGGCGTAATAACTGCCGAAGAGTCAGAGTATACGAAGGAAGATCTTTGCTATTCATTACAAGAAACTATTTTTGCAATGCTGGTAGAAATTACGGAACGCGCAATGGCACACTGCGAATCGAATGAGGTATTCTAATTCTCATTCAATTACTTTTCAACAGTAGCTAAAAATTTCGTTAAAAAGGTGCTGATTGTGGGTGGCGTGGGATGTAATGAGCGTCTGCAAGAAATGATGCGCATTATGTGCGAGGAGCGTGGTGGGAAGCTATTTGCTATTGACGAGCGTTATTGTATTGACAATGGATTGATGATTGCACATGCGGGCGCTGAAATGTTTCATTCTGGCACTCGCATGCCTTTCGAAGAATCATCCGTAACGCAACGTTATCGTACAGATGAAGTGCTGGTTACATGGCGGGATGATTAACATAAATATACGTTATATACATATGTATGTATATACAATTTGTAAAAGTGAGAAGCAAAATTTGAAAAAAAAGTTCTTTAACTTAAATTTTCCCGAAAAATAAATATTTCTGTTACAATTTATTATAGTACTACTTTTGATAACTATAACATTGTTAAATTGAAGAATTGTAATATATTATAAAGGTTTATTTTATTCATTCAACTCTCTTTCGATGCCACGCCAATAACTCTTCATTTCCATTGGGAACAGTCGCTTCCCTTCGATTATGTACACCTCGCCATTTTTCTCCTTTTCTAAGGCGCTGAGTATGCAACGTGATACATCAGTGGCACTTTGCTTATTGAGACGGTCCAGCACTCTGTATGACTCATCCCCCATATCGGCGAATAGGATCTTCTCCGTGAAATTGGTGAACATGTCGGTAATGGTGGCACCCGGACATATTGTGATGAACTTGATGCCAGTACGATTCAAGTAAATGTCGGTCTGTAAAAAGTTACACATGAGTTATATTCAACCGGATTGCCGAAAATCACATTACACCTACTCCCAAACAGCGTGTGAAATTAATAATTCCCGCCTTGGTGGCAGCATAAACAGGCAGCAAAAACATCGGATCCAAGCCGACTACAGACGACATATTAGCCACAATGCCACCATTGCCTCCGTGTTCCTTGCTCATCACATTAAGCGCAGCGAGTGAAGAATTGATGATACCACCCTGTGAATTCCCGTTAAAAATAATAAGACTGTTTTTAAAATAGTAACCATTAAATACATTGTGTTTTTAATTACCAAATTGACTAGAATGGTGCGTTGCACATCCTGGTCATTAAATACTCCAGCTACGTTTACAACAATATCAATAGATCCAAAAGCTTTTTTAAGCTCATCGTAAGTCTTCTCAATTCCTTGTCTATTCGCCACGTCCATTTTGATCAGCAAAATGGTTTGAGCTGGATGTGCTTGGCGCAACTTGGAAATATCTTCTGTGTTTTCTTGAATATCAATAATAGCGACTTTCTGGGTAATGGAAAAAAAGTTATTAAACCATAAATTGATGTGAGCGATCACGCTTGTTCTCTTACCGAAGCCTCATTGGCCAGTAGCTGCTTGCAAACCTGCAAACCAATACCACTGGCGCCACCTGTAATTACAGCGTTTTTGTCGCGGAAAGCCATTTTGTGGTTTAGGTCCTCAAGCGAATGAAACTCAACTAATTTTTGATATTTATTAAAATCGCGTTTGGCAGTAGAACTTTTATGTATTTGCGTGGAATATTTACAGTTACCTCTATTGCTGTTGTTAGTTGAAGCAGGCGTTAGATCAGTTAAGAGTTTACACAGCGTATTTAAAATATCCACTTTGAGAATTTATTCGTTAGAACTTAGCAGCCGGTCAATGCTTATACTAAAGCCCTCGATATCGTTCTGAGCATTTATATACCGCATGAATCCAAATCGCATGAACGCCGCGTTTACATCGGTTTAGTGGTTAGCACATTGATATTGATACATGATACATATTCTGTATATATATATATATATGCCTTAGAATAGAATATATAAAATAACATTTTATGTAAAGCTAAGTTATTAGGAGAAAATTGACAAATGCGTTTGCAGTATCAGTTACAAAAACCTACAAGTATATATCCCCATATAATGAACCTGATTAGAGGTAATATTGCAATATTGGTTAGTAACAGTAAAACATAAATCTCCATTTGAGTTGTAAACTATATATAAAAAAATGAACAAAGAAATTAATATTGAAATGGCGCGCGGTTTTTTATTTGAAAGTTAAGAATGTTTCTGGTTAATTATTATTTAGAGTTTTTTACTATCAATAATTAAATATCTTTAGGTCATTAAATTCAGATTTAAGTTATCGTTTTTATACTCTCGCTACAGTGTATAATAGTTTTGTACACTTAACGCTGGTTTGTATACGTATCACCTAAAACTAATCGAGGTAGATATGAAAGTAATAAATGAATTATAGAAATGAGATATCGTCATGAAACTTTGTAGACGTGTTCCTTACACGACTACGGTTTTATATATGGACGTGATAGAACTATTGCCACGCGCACAAAATGATATTAAGCGTAAACCTATAAAGTGCAATAACTAAGCTCCAAATAAGGTGTAAAATTATAAATTCTCCTAATATTCTTATATTATGGTGTGAAAATGAACGAAACCGGACAAATACTACGCCTTCTTTCCATATAACACAGTTATAAATTCCATCTGATTCTTTTCCTTTTCAGTACACAAATGAAGCCCGCAGTTACCGATTATGTGAACTCCAGTACCTATGGCTGGATTTTTACCGAAAATATCAAACAATCTGTGAGATATATAACTAAAATTCGGAGGGAAGCCTTTTCTGATAATAGTAAATATGTGTGTCAAAAATAGGTTGAATCGGGTCAACACTTTTCTTAACCCCCATATACCTAATATAAAGATTATTGAACTGCCGGTTAATTTTATATATCCGTCAATGTGCAAGATATTTTACACGAACATCCATTTTTGCTAATGATATGTCGTTGTGCTCCAAGCTCCCAAAATTATAGTATGAAAGGGAAGCCAAAGTTCCGATCGGTGGTTCCGACAGCTTTTCGGGGAGAAAAGAACGTTTGCAAAATTATAGATCGATACTTCAAAAACTAAGGGACTAGTGATATGTCGTAAATGGAGACAGACAGACAGACATGGCCAATGCTCTATTCTTTCAGCTCAACTAAATGCGAAAATATAAAAACATATATTATTGATTTACGACATTCAAGTTTAAAGATACAATTTTGAATGCCATCTACTTACCAAAGAATTTTCTTAAAAGTATGACGCATCTTTACAGATTTCGTGTAAAAAATGCATAACTAAATTCAAAACGTCAAGTACCCAAATTTTGATTTTAAACTGCATATTTTATTAATAAAGTTGATACACATACAAAATTTCATAAACTTTCGAAATTGAAAACATGTCGTTTAAATTTTTACGAGTATAAACAAATATGAGGGTCTCAAAAGGTAAATTTCGCAGTAAACGACAACATTTCAACTGTTGTTATAACTTCCATTAATTGTTCTTTGTTTTTGCTTATAAATAATTATTAACTTTATTTCAACTTTCCATCTTAATATTTTCATATAGAAATTTTGTGTATATCAGTGATTTAAAAACTTTTCGAAAATTGTTTGTACGGTATATACATTTTTATAGGTGTATGTGTTTGAGTGTAATGTTGATATAAAGCAAATAAAACACAAAATTGAGAGAATGAGAGCCAATCTTTAATAAATAAATAATTTTAGATCGTTTTATTCATTTAATATTAATTTAAGTATCACAAAAATTCAACACTTTGCTGCAGAAGGTGACCACAAGTTGTGAAAATTAATACGTACTGTTACATAAGTGTCTATTTACATATAATAAAACTATTTTAGCTGGAATATTAAAAAAATGCGTACAAAATATTGTGGCATCTAAAAATCTACATTTATGTTCTTTTGTGATTTTTTAATCAAACATTTTTTAATTTTTTAAAGATTATATATGTATTTATGAATCTCAATTTATTGCCTTTAATGAGCGTTGCCGTATGTGTCTTTGTGCTGATACCCGGAGACGTAGCCAGATGCATCCACCAAGTCTTTGCGACCAGCAATGCCTTTGCCCTTGCCCGAGGCATCGAACCGTTCTTTGTGAGATCCAGTGTACTTGCTGGTGTCCGTGAGACGTTCCACGGCCGATGCGGCTTTGCCAGCCTATAAAATGCAATAAATAAATGTGTTAGCATCTTCCAAAATAAATCAAATCAACTGGCATCCAAAAATACAAAAAACAAAAACGACTCAGATCACCTTTAGTGGTCCGATATCGGTGGTTCTAACAAAAGAACAGCTTCTTGGAGAGAAGAGGAGGTATTAAAAATTTCATACTCATATATACCAACAGACGGACAGACTGATAGACAGACGGACATGACTAAATCGACTCAGCTAGTCATGCTGATGGTAAATATAATATATGTATGTATATAATTTATAGGGTGTCCGACATTTCCTTCTGGGTGTTACAAACTTCGTGGCAAACTTAATATACCGTGTACAGGGTATAAAAATCTCATGTAAAATGTATGGGAACGGTAAAGGGATTTAATTTGAAAATAAAGAGCTTGTATTCTTTTTGGACTCTTTTTTTAATACAATGCTTCTGGTTTGACAGAAAATTCTCAGAAGTTGCACACTAACAAATTCTATTAATTACGTATATATTAGAATAAGATACCAAAACATCATTGTTTGTAAATTGTTAAATAATACAATATTACATTTAGAAAATATTTCACTGATCGCAACGTACCGAAACCTGCAGCACCCCAGGAGCCCCACAACCCGCCATCTTCGATTTAATTTCACTCAATTCGACCTTTTTCGCTTTAGCCAAATCGTCCAGAAATTTATTATAATCGGCAAGTGAGATTTTCATCGCTTTGAATTTCTTGAAATGTATGCCCGTGTCAGTAGTTGTGATTTTCTTGTCGATTACTTTAGCTTGTTTCATCCATTTATCGCTCTGCGATAGAGTAATTAATTTGCCATCTGATTTTGTATCACCGAATTTGGCGAAGGCCTTGAACTCATCAGCAAAGCTAACTTTCGGTTCATCCTCCAAAGCCAATTGCGCTACCTCAGCAACTGGTGGTTCCGCGGAGGGAGCAGGTGAAGGGCTGCTGCCATTTGTTGCCTCTGCTGACATGTTAAATCTGTTAAGCGGAAAGAAAAAATTTGTTTTAAATTTTTAAGAGAATTTATTGGTTTCTACTATGCATGCCTTGGTATATCGCTAAAACGTTTAAAATAACATCATTTTTATAACTTCCCATTCGGAAACCATTATATACATATATATGTATGTATTTTTATTCACCTGCGGTGAATAGAAGCGGGTAACAGTAATTACAATAATTTATACTTAGGAATGTTCAAATTTACTTTATTTTTGGTCAGAATGTCATTTCCATAGCCCACGCAATTGAATATCTAATTATCTGACTTCAAACAGGTGAATATTTGCCTTCATTTCAAAGTTTTACATCGCCTGACTTCCTATGTGAATCAATAGCCACCTTTCCCTTCTAAATAACTAATAAATCTCAAAACACGCACTCAATGAATACCGTAAATCAACTAGTACCGAGCGAATTTATAAGTAAACGATCAATATTAGCTATCTATCTAACCGATTTCGGCAATCTCGAGGAATCAACTGATTCAGATTATCATCAAAATACTGCGAATAGAAATGCCAGTTCTTCCAGATTCTAGTACTTGAAATTATCATTATATTCATGCTTTTTAGCTTTCATTTGTTTTTGTTTGCTTATCTATCGTGCCATGTTTTCCCTCAGTTGCATTATGACGCTTTCTGAATAATTTTGCTATGTTCTTTTTTGTATTTTCGTACATCGCAAATATTTATGATAGTATCACGTGCGTGTGCAATTATATACGAGTACGAAAAATTGGCAAGAATAATAATAATTGAAATGCTAAACAACTCAATTACTTTGCCAGGAGTCAGAATTTTTGATGCTACCAAGTCAAGTAAAGTCAATTGATGATTTAGTAAGCAGTAACTACATTCTCTTAATAAGAAACCATATTTTTATTCCCTAAACAGTATACCCTGTTTAGTTTGACACGAATTTTGCACACGTCCTTTTCTTCCCAAGAAGCTATCTATACTTTTGAGTAGTACAATTCGCAAATTCTTTATTTATTGGGAGAATTCAAGGTAGAAGCTGGTAATTACTATGATATTTCTTTTTGCCATAGAATTTCAGCTTTCAACAGCTGTAGGCAGTTTATATCAAAAAACAATTTTAAATGTTAAAACTCACAAAGTGAAAAATATCTAGAAATTCAGCGAACAGAAATTCAGAAGAAATTTGATGTATGAATACCTGGTTGCCCTTAAATATTCTTCCGTTCTTTCCGTTCCATTTTATAATATATCTTCCTATAATAGTCTTATTGTTTATAATTATGTATTTACTTGCGTGAGTCTCAATTTGAATCAATTTTGTGTTGTGGAAATGGCAATTAGTTGTCTTCGATCAATATAATTCTTTTGTTCTTTTCTTTGAAAATTTGTAACTTGTAGCAGATAATAAGAGAGCTGTTTTAAACTGGGACTATACTAATATCACTCAGCTCGAAACTGCATAACGGCATATACGCTCGAAGTATGATAGAACAAATCTGAATCGCAACTAATTTTTATACACGTCTTGCATATTTTTGACCCTGATAAAGTCTCCTAAAGCCTTAATAATGCATTTTGATTATGTCACACAGTAGAATGTTAAATTAATTGGCAATGTAAACCTTCGTAATCTTATTCTTTCACTCAGTAAAACAACTGCTCCCAATTAATTTCAAGTTGATTAAGTGAACATTCGCTAACGTTATCCCCAACAGTCGTTTCAAATTTCAGATCTTTTTTCATATTTCCATATGACTTATGTAGGTATATGCATATGCAATCAGATGTTTCTGAAACAATGTGAGTCGTATGCAAGCGTGTTCATTTTAATGTTGATGTTAATTATTTTAAGACATCTCGACATCTTGCCTTTTATATTAATAAATATTCAAAACTAGATAAATCGTAAACTTCGGCTGCATCGAAGCTATAATACCTTTCACAGATGCCATTTTATAGTTTAAAATGGTATAAAATATATAGCAGTCAGATTTCAAATTTCTTGAATATACATTTTTAAACAAAAAAGATTCGCAAACATGGACTTGAGTTTTAAAGGTCAGTTTGTATTGCAACTAAAGTGGTCCAATCTGAACAATTTGTTTGAAGGTGGTAACGCTGAGAAAATAACCTGTGCAAAGTTTCATGAAGCTGTATACTTCGTCAAACAAAACAAGAAAAAACGTTAACATCGGTTGCACGGAAGCTGTAATACCATTCACAACTATAAAAGATTCCTTAAGCTAAGAGCTTTGATTGGTCATTTTGTATGGCATCAACATGCTCCGCAGATTGCGTTATTGCCTTCGACAGTAACACATTCTAAATTTGGGGAAGATATCTCGTCTCGTCTTGATTCCGGTTATTCAGCTTGTATGGCAGATATATGCTATAGTGGTCCGATATCGGCGGTTCCCACAAATGAGGCTTCCTTCTGGGTGCTACAAACTGTTCGGGGTATAATGACGTGTATATACTTATATATATGGTGTATTCATACATACATATATACATATGATAATAATCCCTGCTCCTCCTCCTATCTATGAATTCTTCAGTTCTTCGAGAAATGGCGTTATACTTACTAAAAATAATTAAAAAGTATGTGCATTGTATATATAAGTGTGAAAATGAGTGTGAAAACGAGTGATTTAACAGACTACACGTCAACCGCCGGGTGTAATAAATTTTCGTATGAAATCATACATTTCTCAAAGTATAATAGAAATTCATACATACATATAAGAGGCATTCTGATCGTTTGTGCTTATAGGCTGTCAGAACTATTTTTGTACGAGTATGTATGAATGTTAGGTAAACATTGGGCAAGGTAATGTTTCAACACCATACACAAAATTGTAACATTTCAGTATTTACAGTATGAGTTATGAGTTGAAACAACCCAGTTGGAAATTTGTGGCATACATTTTAATTTTATTTCTCCTTTTATAATATACCTGGTGTGCAACGTATATTTATTCGGCCTACAATTATTTCAATTTTAAATTCTCTTCTATTAACTATGCATTTACAACAGTCATAAATTGTTTGCATATTGATGAAGTAAATAATGTATCCTAAGCCTATGATTTAATGAAAGTTAATCAAGATGTTTGTAATAATATAGATATATAAATTACCTCATTAACTACAACCCTTACCAATTATTTATAAAATGCAAATTTCAAGCGCGTAAAAAATGTAAAACAAATAACTTTAGGACAATATCAACAAGAAAAAACGTTAACTTTTATTGCACTGATGATATAATACTCATCACAAATAAAAAAGCTTTCATACAAATACTTGATTTTGGTCGATCAGTCAGCTGCCATATAATATATACATACATATATGCTATTGTGGTCCGATATGAACATTTTGCTCGGACATTATACTCTTGCCTTAAACAATAATCCATACCAAATTACGTGAAAATACCTCGTCAAATAAAAAAGTTTTCCATACAAAGACTTCATTTTGATAACTTCATGATAAACTCAAACTTAATATATACTGATCAGAGTCTACAAATATATATAAAGTGAAGTATTGAATTGCAGCGAATTTCTAAAATTTTAAATTTTCGATTATACTTGAACAAAAGCCGTCTTAAGCTCGTTATTTATTATAAATACATGCACATAACAAAACTTTTTAGGTAACTTCATCCGTTATATTAGGTTCCGACCGACACTTCATCACAATATTTAGGCTGTTGAGTAAATTATTTCACTAATCTACTGGATTTAGCGAGATTTCACCATACAAAAATTATACTTGTTAATCTCGTCACCGAGAATATTTGAAGCTAATCTACTCGAAATCTCCCTGTGCGACTCTAATTTAGCGCCATCTGGTTGTCAAAAGGGATATTTATTACATTATCAAAGCTGATTTAGACTCTACAAAGAGAAAAAATGTAAACAAACAAATAAATTAAAAGCAATGCATCTGAATTCACCTGGCAATCGACTTCGGAAATCAAAAAAATTCTTCCACTTTTATAACAAAGTACGGCATTTCACTATTTTCTTTTAATAAATATTAAACGATGGGAATTTTTAATGTAGAAAACAGCTGTTTGATAAATATGCAACGGCAGTAAGGACAGTTTAGATTAGCGAATAGATTTAATGTAATCTAATCACTTCAAATTTTTTATCGGAACATGGTATTAACCTTAAATTGGATGGAACGTAAAATTCCAACACGATCGGAATACGCCGATTTATAAATTATTGAATGGTGTCAGCTATAAGTATGAGCAACGTACTCAAATAGCTAAAGATGCAGATTCCGCAAATTCCAGCAAAGTAACACCTTTTGTACTGGTTCTCTCTTTTACCAGAATTAATAACATTCGTTTCCGGATTTCCTCACAAGTTGGTCTACTTCGAAAATAGAATCATACACACATTCTTACATACAAAGCATCTCAAAAAGCAATAACAAACAATGCTCACTGTTTCCCAGCTGTTGCACCCCCACCAACCATTTCTCATGCTACAAACATCTAATGGGTAGGTCAAGGTCGTCGCGACCTTAAACACAGTTTACTATCTGATATAAATACAGCCATTTCCGCAAACAAAGACACAGTCGCGCACACTTTCATTTGTGAAAAGCATATCTTTATTTGTAAACAAAGTAGCAGCACCCAAAAGTCATAAAACTGAATTGTCAATAAAAGCAAGAAAGGAACGAAAATAAAATGTGAGATCTCACGCCTCTTCCCCGCCTTCCCATTTTGCTGAAGCCGCACGACGTCAGTGTGGCTGACAAAGAACAGGCGTTCCTGACATGAGTGCACCATTTTGCTATTATTGCTTGCATTACAAAACGGAATTATGCACCAAGGCACTTGTATGTGTAGATACATGCTTACATGTATATAAGTATGTATGTACGAACGCGTAAGTATATTTGCAAAGGGGTTTCACTTTTCATCGCTTCAACCGCAAAATGTATGTATTTACCGAATAACCAATGATACGGAACATTGACAACAACAATTCAAAATTATGTCATCTCGTTATTCAGCACAGTGGCCGTTTATATATGATTGCTGCTGTTTTGGCTGTGCGCTGGGCTGTCTATTCGCATGAGATGATAAAGTTTCATAAAAATACCCTCTCCATTGCGCATTAACATACATATGTATATTAAATTTCATCCACTGTTTACACAATTTAAAAAGACAATTCTCGTTATATGTTAATATTTAATCAAAGCTCATATGAAGTACCCGTACTCTAGGGATGTATCCAATAGTCGGTTAAATACTTGTACGCTAATCCTGGGCAACATTACCAGATTTTAAGTCAAATTTTTTTATAAAACCCAGTGCAGAAGCCTTTGAAAATGGTTAAAAGTGAAGAAAATTATTAAGTCAAAATAAGGTGGAAAAACAAATATTTTTAATAAATAAAATTTACATTTTGTTTGGGACAAAATAATATAAATTTACACCAAATTTCGTGAAAAACAAAAAAACTTTGTTAATGATAAAAATAAAAAAACCAAAAACTGGGTTATTGGAATTTTTCCGCAAAAATTTTGACTTTTTAATATTTCCAAAGCATAGATGACATTAAAAGCGCATCGCTGAAGATCTAAGAGCTATCCTAAAAATCCAGTTTGCGAAGTGTTTCGACGATTGGAAAAAGCGCTGGCATAAGTGCATAATATCGAATGTGGACTATTTTAAAGGCGATACGAATGAATAAATTTTGTTTTTGTTAAGGAGAAAATTGGGTTAAGATTTGTTTAGTATAAGAAGTTAATATGATTTATTGAAACTTTGGGAATATTTTATAACTACATATATTTTAATATATAAATACTATAATTGATTTATTTTTTGAATTTCTTTGAAAAACATCGAAGATATTAGCGACCTGTATTTGTACATACGAGTACATATAGTGGCGAGCAATATTGGTCGGTCAAAATTCTACGAAAGATGCTTCAAAAAAGTCAATAATTATTCAATTTGCTTGAAATTTTAAATGCTTATTTATTTCTTTAAACGAAAAGTAAGCCAAACAAAAAGTAGAAAAGGCAACATATTTTTGAAAATTTTAGAAAATTTCAAAAAATTTGAAAAATTGTGTCGTTTGCTATCTCAAACAGCCGGGTTTCCAAATTCTGTAAAATTGTCTTCATTTTTCCAAAATTGAATTTTTACAAAAAATACTAGAGTTAAATTGACAATGTACGAAGTGCACTAAAGGGCGATACTTAAAAATGCCAAACTAAACTAAAAACTTTTCTTCTTCCGAAATATAACAGTTAATCAAACGATCATAGCTGGACGCATGATTTTAGTTTGGGTTTAAATTACACTGGTAAACATAATTAAACTTTTTTTGTTTTACGAAGGTACTAAACTATTTCTTACTAATTTGACGTCGCTGGCAAAATTCCTCTATTCCAAAAAATTACTAAATTTCATAAATAAACCGCTATGTCTACATAAATGCTCGTTTAAATGCGTCTGATTCTACAAAAAATTTCTATTTGGACTACTTTGGGAATAAAATATATAGAACATAACTGGCTGGCATCGAAGCATATGATCTTAAAATGGAAAATTTTCTTTGGGTCAACAAGGAGGATATACCAAAAACCCCCTCTTTATATAAAGTTCGGTCTGATAAAACAGTTTGTAAAAGCTATAAACAATTATGGGAATGTTTTAAATATATCAGTAAAATATTTCCGAAATTAAGCTGGTATTATTGACGTTCCTTAAATCAGGGAACTAATAAAGGACCAACATTTTACTAATTATATGACAGATAAGGAGAAATCTGCATGGACTGAATGTATTTGGGTTGTGTTAAATTTTATAGGAAACAAAAAGTCCCCAGATTACATTGAACGCATTGAGCAGCTCATGTTGCACTTCCAGAGACTAGGATGTCACACGAG